TTTTCCAATACAGACTGTGGCAAGGATATATAATCAAAATGTGTGTTGTCTTGGTGTAGATCATACTAGTACCAGTATATGATGAAACACATTCATAGTGTACTAGCTAGACTTCTTCGCTGCTAAGCTGATGTAAGACTTATGACCTATTACCGCACACGTAATCGGCTTATAACTCATTAACTGTGCTCCGACCCCCTCATGGCAACGGCCCTTAGTAACAGAGGCGTGGCTTAGTTGTCAGCCTGACTGGGGCGCGTGCCGGTTGAAAAACTCATCAAAAGACACATTTTGCGATGCAAATTCATAAAAATTATTACATGCAACGTTAGATACTTTTTTGATTAATATAAACACACAAAAAACTCAAAAACATGATTTTAAGCGTATTTAACCCTATCACCGGCCTTAAAGCAAGACATTGTCCATTGTGAATAAAAACCATATATTTTTATTCAATATCTTTCCACTGCTGATTATTTCTGATCTTTTAACACATCCACTTTTAAAATAACTCAGATCTCTTATATTTGGTTAAGTGAAACTCTGCATGAATAATAATATCTTACTGGTTAAAGTGACGTCCTTTAATTCTTTATGATCACCAATCAGTATCAGCCGAAGTGTCTAGTTACAAAAAAAAGAGAAAAATTAATTAGATTAACACCTCAGTATTTCAGTACTCGAGGAAAAAACGTTTAAGAAAACGCCAAAACTTACTAATACATGTGTATTTAAATTCGGGTTGAGGGCGGTGGTGGAAAGTAAAAAATATAAAATTTAAACGCCTTGATGACCTCAGGAACGTTCAGTGTATTTGCTGCCCATGGTCTGCTCCTATAAGTGTCTTTTGCATATGGTTTACACACATTTAGAACTTACCTGAGGAGACACCAGTGTCAAGTTGACTTCGACTGAAAACAATTTGTAGAATAATTTAAGTGTATAAGACCATTTGCATGTGCTTAAGATATGGACTTACTCAAGAAGTTAGCCATATATTTACGTAATTCTCCAGTTGTGACCATCTGGATTTAATTGCACACAAATATGCAAAAAAGAGGCGTACATAAGTAGTACGTGTAAGTTTTACTTTACGTGGCACATCTGATATTAAAGAGATCTCTTATACATGTTCACAATTTAATATCTTTGCACATCACCATCATAATCCTGACAATTTACGCAATTTGAAGTATTTTTTAAAACTTTATTTTTTTGTTATTTGCTGTAATGTGAATGTTTTTAAGTCTCACTTCTAGCATTGGATTCGATTGGCCATTGTTTATATCGAAATTGTGCCCAGCAATGTGCCTTGTCCGCCTTCGCTGTGCACCCTTTGGTGCTGCCAACTGGAAAAAAAACAGAATCAGGCACACAGGATGGAGACAAATCTCATGCACTCTACTTTGTGATCGTTACCTACACACACTGGACAATAGAAGTGTCACCCCCTAAATCAGAGTAATAAAAGTAGGCAGATCTTGGGTAGTTATAATGCCTGGTCTACTTATAATGTGACTAATGAGTATATAACCGCTATACCATGGAATTGTATTGTTGGTCTTGTACATGTACAGCAAATGTTATTCTTGTCTTCCTCCAATATGGCAAGATACAGGCAATTATCTAACGGTTATAGGCGTCAAGTTATTAACCTNGTGTGTGTACACATAAACTGAAATGTGTTCTATAAGCAAATGGTATAACAGCTGATTTTTTTAAAAAAAATTATGATGTGTATTAAATTTTTCAGAGGACTCCAGACTGGACAAATTCGTAGATGTAGAATCTGAGAAACTTTCGTAATTAAAGAGGTTGGTCAAGATAGAGGAAGAAAAATTGAAGTTAAAGAAGGAAATGTTTGAAAATGTTGAAAGAAAATGGGAGTCAAAAGTAGTCCAAATGAATTTGCAGTCTATGTTAGATTAAATGCTAATAAATGCTAATAAAGTTTTATTTACATGAGCATGGCTCCTAGTTGTTTTATGCAATAACTTGCAAAATGAAGGATTTTGAAATTAAACAAAATATCCCAGTGACCATTTTACTGATTAAAAAAAACTTGGAAATATGAAATATTGGCGTTTATAACATAAGTAGGTAAAAGAGAAATAGATTTTTAGAGATCATAATAATGATAAACAATTTGAATCTTAAATCCAAATTTTTTCAGTAGACTTTATAATACAACAAGAAAGAAATGAGGCTACTAAAAGAAAATAAAATAAACTTATTAAATCAAGTAATGTAAAAATTAGAAATGTCACTCCTTCACTCAATTTTAAAAGCCATTTATAAAAATTCTATTTACAAAATTTCTTATTAATAGATAAACCTTGAGTTGTCTAGAGAATATTTTATGTAGTAAAAGTGGCAGTAAATTCCATTCCCTACATGTAGGTGCAGTAGCTTATACAATTTGAGGGGGAAGGGTTGTAAGCTGATACAAGATGGCATATATAGGTGGGGCCATATGGAGGTGATAATTGTGAAGGCACCTAAAAGCATTGAAAATTTAAGTATTGTTGAAGACAGATTATATTATATGACATTAAATATTATGATAATAACAACAGTGATGATACTAGTAACGATAAAGTAATTGTTATAACTTTTAAAATATTGTTGAAGGCAGATTGATAATAACATATTATTCCAAGCGTCAGACGTTAATTATCGAATAACAACTGGAGTTTTCCAGTCATTTCCCTTTTTTTTTTTTTTTTTTTTT